TGAGCCTCGGAGATTCTTCAAAACTCCCGGTTGAAGGCAAAGGGAAGATTAAGATCTACCAAAAGGATGGTAAGCCCGAGTATATTTCCGATGTTTACTATATTCCTAACATGAAAAGTAATATTCTTAGCATCGGTCAATTACTCGGAAAGGGATACAAAGTATATATGGAGAACAACCATCTTTGGTTGAAAAATACAAATGGAGGCCTCATAGCTTGTGTTAAGATGACAAGGAACCGCATGTTTCCCTTGCATCTAAACACGAAAGTCGACAAGTGTTTTCAAGGACTCATGGAGAATGAGTCATGGAGGTGGCATCTTCGCTTCGGCCATCTAAACTTCAGCGGTTTGAAGTTATTATCTACAGCTGGCATGGTACGAGGTCTACCAACAATTGATCCACCGAATCATATTTGTGAAGGTTGTGTAATCGGCAAGCAACCGCGACTTCCTTTTCCCAGTGGAAAATCATGGAGAGCAAGTGTACCATTGCAACTTGTTCACACCGACATCTGCGGACCGATCGATCCCGTCTCTTTGGGAGGTAATAGATATTTTATAACTTTCATTGATGACTTCAGTAGAAAGTTGTGGGTGTACACTCTTAAAGAAAAATCTGCTGCCTTTACTACATTCAAACATTTTAAAGCTTTAGTTGAAGCAGAGAGCGGCCACAAGCTAAAAAAATCTTCGATCTGAACGAGGTGGTGAGTACACCTCAAATCTGTTTCAAGAATATTACAGGGAGCAAGGTATAAAGAGACAGTTTACTACTGCCTACACACCACAGCAAAATGGCATTGCAGAAAGAAAGAACCGGACCATCCTCGACATGACAAGAACCATGCTCAAAGAAAAGGGATTAAGAACAAGACACCTCAAGAGGCATGGAGCGGTTACACGCCTAGTGTGGCACACCTGCGAATTTTTGGTTGTGTTGCATATGCTCAAGTACCTGAAGTCAAAAGGAAGAAGCTTGACAATCGCGGTGAAAAATGCATTTTCATCGGATATAGCGAGGAGTCGAAGGCATACAAGCTCTACAATCCACTAACCAAGAAACTAGTTGTTAGTAGAGACGTTGTCTTTAATGAAGAAGAAGCATGGAACTGGAGCAATGAAGATCAACCCGTGGTGAATGAACCTGATGAGTCTCTACATGAGGAACCATCACTAGCTACACCACCATCTCCTCCACACTCTACACCCTCTCCTGCAAGAGGTTCTCCATCTTCAGGGGAAGGTAGTAGCAGCAGATCTACCGTGCAACGAGGTCCCATCAAAATGAGAAGCCTCAGGGAGATCTATGAGCAGATAGAAGAAGACGAAGAGTCAAATCTTTTCTGCTTATATGCTGATCATGAACCTCTCACTTTTCAAGAAGCCGTAAAAGAAGATAGTTGGCGAACAGCAATGGAGGAGGAGATCCACGCCATCCAAAAGAATGACACTTGGGAGTTGACAACTCTTCCACAAAATCACAAGGCAATAGGGGTCAAGTGGGTGTACAAGATCAAGCGCACAGCAAATGGTGAAGTTGATCGGTACAAGGCGAGGCTTGTAGCGAAAGGTTACAAACAAAAGTACGGCATCGACTATGAAGAAGTCTTTGCTCCGGTTGCTCGACTGGATACGGTGAGACTATTAATTTCACTTGCAGCTCATCACAAGTGGAATATATATCATTTGGATGTCAAGTCAGCATTTCTCAATGGCGTTCTTGAGGAAGAGGTGTACGTGCAATAACCAGAAAGCTTTCTTGTGAAAGGGCAAGAAGACAAAGTGTACCATTTGAAGAAAGCCTTGTATGGCTTAAAGCAGGCACCACGGGCGTGGAACGCCCGAATTGATGGCTATCTTCATCAAAACGGCTAATGATTTGTCTTTATGTTGATGATTTATTGTACACAGGAAGCAGTACCGAGATGCTTGCTGAATTCAAGGCGGCAATGTTCAATGAATTTGAGATGACGGACAATGGATTAATGTCCTATTTTCTTGGCATTGAAGTGAAGCAGCAACAAGAGGGGATTTTTATATCGCAGAAGAAGTACATGAAGGAGATCTTAGAGAAGTTCAAGATAAATGAATGCAACCCTGTGAACACCCCAGTAGCCATCGGAATGAAGCTATCAAGAGAAGGAGACAGACGTTTCGTGGATTCAACTCTTTTCAAAAGTCTAGTTGGCAGCCTGAGATACTTGACGATTACAAGGCCCGATATTACTTATGGAGTCGGACTTGTGAGTCGCTATATGGAGACACCAAATGAATCTCACTGGCTAGCTGTGAAGAGGATACTAAGGTATATCAAAGGCACACTCAACCTAGGTCTCTTCTATGCATATGATGAAAATGCACAACTAGTTGGTTACTCAGATAGTGACTGGGGAGGTGATCAAGATGAGAGAAAAAGCACCACAGGCTATGTTTTCTATCTTGGGTCAACTGCATTTTCATGGACCTCAAAGAAGCAAGGAGTTGTAGCTTTATCTTCATGTGAAGCAAAATATGTGGCGACTGCATCTACAGTATGTGAAGCAATTTGGTTGCGGAACATATTAAAGGAGTTGGATCATCCACAAGAAGACTCGACCGTAATTTTTGTGGACAACAAATCAGCCATCCAGCTTGCAAAGAACCCAGTACATCATGGGAGGAGCAAACACATAGATACACGGTTTTATTTTCTCAGAGACCATGTAAAGCAGAAAACCGTTGAACTGAAGCATTGTCACACCACTGAACAAGTGGCAGACATATTCACCAAGCCATTATCAGGTGAAACTTTCATGAGGCTAAGAGACATGCTTGGCTTAAAGACATTTTGATTTGAAGGGGCGTGTTGGAATATCAAATTAAAATGCTAGAATAAATGAGTTTTAGAAGTGCAAGGGTCATAAGTTTAGAAGGTAAAGAGACATATAGGTTATGGAAGAATAAGAGTAACTTACTCATTTATGACATTTATCTTTATGGCATTAAAATAGGAGTTTAATTTGTGACTATTGGTATGCCTAGACGTTTTTGTTTTTGAAGCCTATATAAAGGGCTATTGTAATCCTTGTTTGATATGAAGAGAGAAAATTGAAGAAATATAAGTGAGTTCTTCATTTGAAAGAGTTCTAAGTTCGTAAACTTAAGAGTCATCATTTTCTAGCCTTAATGGATGGCACCAGAAGTTCTTCGCAATGAGCCTTCAGATGAGAAGTAAGTTCTATCTTCTTGTTTTGGTAGACTTATCACAGTTTTTGTTTGTTATTACTTTGTGGAAGTTCTGAGTAAGAGATGCCAAATACTGAACTTGTGTTTGCTGATAATAGGTCTGATGTGTATAGCTATGGAGTAATACTATGGGAACTTGTCACTGAGAAGATTCCTTGGGATAATCTCAACTCAATGCAGGTAATATTTCTTGTGACCCTCTGAATGTACTTGTTGCTATTTATTAATCCTTCATGTGATTTAAATTAACTAGAACATATTGTAAAGTTAGTTCTAATCTACACATTTGGACAGTTAGTTCTAATCTGCACAGTGTTTGTTCTATTCTGTAGCGTGTTAGTTCTAATCTGCACAGTGTTAGTTCTATTCTGTAGCGTGTTAGTTATAATCTGCACAGTGTTAGTTCTATTCTGTAGCGTGTTAGTTCTAATCTGCACAGTGTTAGTTCTATTCTGTAGTGTGTTAGTTCTAATTTGCACAGTGTTAGTTGTATTCTGTAGCGTGTTAGTTCTAATCTGCACAGTGTTAGTTCTATTCTGTACCACGTTAGTTCTAATTTATACCAAGTTAGTTCTAATTTATACCACTTTAGTTCTATTTTATACCGCATTAGTTCTAATTTATACCAAGTTAGTTCTATTTTATACCACGTTAGTTCTAATTTTAACCATATTAGTTCTAATTTATAACAAGTTAGTTCTAATTTATAACAAATTAGTTCTAATTTTAACCACATTAGTTCTAATTTATACCACATTAGTTCTAATTTATACCAAGTTAGTTCTAATTTATACAATGTTAGTTCTATTTTATACCAAGTTAGTTCTATTTTATACCACGTTAGTTCTAATTTTAACCATATTAGTTCTAATTTATTACAAGTTAGTTCTAAATTATAACAAATTAGTTTTAATTTTAACTACGTCAGTTCTAATTTATACCACGTTAGTTCTAATTTATGAAAGTTGGAATGTTAAGGTCACTTGATGAATAATAATTTATAAATTAGACCTTTTTTCTTGTGCGTGCAGCCCCTTCATTTTCATTTTTCTTGGGCATCATGCACTCTTTTCTCTTGGTCATCCTCTCCGCGGCTCCATACTAATAGGGTTTAAAAGTGGCAGGCGCAGCGGCGAACTCCGGCGTAGTCGAGGGCGAGACGGGGAGCGATGGCGAGCTACCGTGACGAGGTCGGGCGGAGGAGAGGAGGGGAGGCCGCGGCGAACTCGGGGAGGCTTGGGAGCCTGGGCGGAGGTGGCAAACGTCGAGGAGGGCGAGGCCAGGGCGACGGGCTTGAGAAAGCCTTGTTTTAGAGAGAGAGAGAGAGAGAGAGAGAGAGAGAGAGAGAGAGAGCTGAGTTTGAAGGATTTAGAAAAGGGGATAAGGTTATTTTGGGGATTTTAGCTTAGCTGGCATGTAATAATTGTTAAAAAGGAGCTGCAGCACATAATATCACACTTTAAGGGGCTGAACCACATGGGGGAAACTAGGAGGGGCTGCAGCACATAAAATTTCTATTTTTATGGCCTGGACACGTTTTTCCCAAAATTCTAATATATTCTCATTAAATTGAGAAAAAGTAGTGCACAATGCACATTGTACACTGATATTTGATTTGAAAATTCCCCCCGTAATAAAAGAAAAAAAAAACAGATTTGTCCCTGTCTCTTCAATGACCAAACCATTTCAGTTTCCAGCGCCCCTTTGCACGTGACACTCTTGCCCTAAAACGGAAACGTGGGCAACCTTGAGAAGTGGGACCCACACAAATTCAATTTCTCGGCTGCACTCATTCTCTCTCTCTCTATGCCGCTTTCTCTCTCCTCTCTCTCTCTCTCTCTCTCTCCGCTCTCTGAAGAAAGTAATAATCAGCAAACCGAAACCAAAAGCGATTCCTTCCCTCTTTATCATCAATCTTTTGAAACCCTAAAGGCCCAACTGAAGAAATCCCAAAGGTGAGACCTTTTCTGAGTTCTCCTTTGCTCCAGTTTGAACTCACAAAGGTGGGACCTTTTTGAGTTGTTTTTTTTTATTTTGAAATTTTGAATCGCATAGTTGAGACATTCTCTTGGTTTTGTTTTTGCTGCAGATTTTTATTGGGATTTTGTGAGGGATGAAGATATCATTATCATCTTGTGTAAGTTTCTTCTTTTTTTGAATTTATTGGGATGATGATCACAAACGTTTGAAGTTTAATTTTAAAAAAGATGGGATTTTGGGACTAAATATAGTGAACACAAATGATGACTTAAGTGATTGTTTTGATTATTGCATTTTCCTTGTAGATGAACTCCTGTAGAAAATTGATTTCTGGAATTCTGCACCCCATTGTTTGTAGTTGATTGTTAGAATGTAGAATTGATTTCTGGAATCCCACCACAACTCGGAGTTTTGGTGTGGTGGAAGGGGCCTTTTAAAATGATAATAGAACTACAGGAGGAGTGATAATCCAGAATGTTTTAGTACAAGATGTCAATGTTTTTATGATTTCTATGTAATGGAATCTGGTTTTGTTGCAAATTCCTATTTTTAAGTTGACCCAGATGCTGTGATGTCAAAATACCTTGTCTAGTAACCACGAGATAAGTTGCCAATTATGAAAGATATAATTTTAATAATAATCTTCTCTACTATTTGTTATTGGAAAAATTACTGAAATAAGTGTTCATAAACAATATTTTATATTTTGTTCATGTGTATGTGTGTTTGGGGATGGGGAAGGGATTCCCATCTCTCCTCTATCTATTGAGATACTTCCACTTTTTATCATATACCTTATAACTTGAATCTGTGGGTTGTGTGCTCTTCCCTTGGTTAGTTGAAAAGAGAATATATTGTTGAATCTCCTATAAAACTTTCACATGCGCGTATCATGATGTTTCAATTTCTGTACATGGAAACATTGCTAAGACCTAAGATGATTTGTTTCATCTCTATATCTCTTTTCTCATGTACTTATCTTGGGTATATCAATTTGATTACTTTTTTTATTTTTTTTTTGAAAACTTTTGTTTGCAGGGGCCTAATCTCAGGGATTTAGCACAACGGAGAGCATGTTCTTGCCGTTTCCTCTCTATTGCTGTTTTCATATGTTTCACTTCATTTGTAGGAAGCCCTTATGTTCTTGACTATAAACACGTATGAGTTGTTTCTTTTTGTACTTTGTATTAGCAACCTAGGTCTGTGATATATTGTTTACTGCATGTATCCGTAACAGCTGTGAATTTGACGTGATGTTATCATGTCAATATTCTAAATCATTTAAATATTCTGGTTAATGAAAGTTTTGCAAATAAGAAGAATAAATGCAAAGTGGTAGTTTACTTTAGGAATTGTATACGTAAGTATAAATTGCAAGTTTTCAAACTAATTCTAATTTTTATTGCGCAGAGATTATCATCAGCATGGGCAGCTACAGACTCTATGCAGAAGGATCAATCCAGCTTATGCGAGGTTCTTTCTTGTATAAAGCTTGCTTTAGCCATCTGACTTTCGTTTTATATTCAGGAGTTCCATTCATGTTTCTTTCATTAATTAGTTGGACTTGAGAATATGACTACTCTTATATTGACAGTGCAAACCTTTGGGAAGTGAAAATTTGCCTAAAGGAATAATTTGCAAAAACTCAAACTTGGAATTTCTGCCAGTATCCTTACGCTCATGGAAAAGAAAGGTTTGTCAAAAGTATCTATCTAGAAGCAAAAAACCTTAAAGTTTAATGTATATATCTTGTTTTCAAATTTAAGTGTGAAATAGAGATAGTTATGCACTTGATTCCAATCAGTTAAAATATGCACTCTTGAATTTGCATTGGGAAAATTTTCCTCCTTCCCCATTCAAAAGTATGTTCTAATCTGAACCCTATATGCTTTCAGTCATTTTAGCTTTCCCCTGTCAAAGCCATTAGTTACTGCTTGCTAACCTGTTTTCTACTGTCTATTAAGTAATAACAGATAGTGTGAATGTTCAGTAATATTTCTGGGGTTATTTGCACTTAATTGCCCCAAAGTGTTGCACCTTTTTTTAAACTTTGATTCCCAAAGTTTTCTAGCCTAAAAAATACCATAAAAAGGTATTTTAGCTTTGATACCCAAAAATAACTTAATGGGGGTATCAAAGTTATTTATATTTAAATTAGGGGTTTTTTGGGCAAATTTTTAAACGGGTATCAAAGTTCAAAATGATGTAATTTTTGGGGTAATAAGGGCAACTAGTTCTTATTGTCTGTATTGGAAAATTTAAAGTGGCCAGGAAAGTGTTACGTGGATGTTTGCTATAGTTGTTTTATGAAAGAACAATATATATCATATCATATCATACTCCTTTAAAAACACGAGTTCGGGAAAATCTTTCTATGGTCAGTATTACCCTTATCTTTTTTTTGAATATTACATTGATCTATTCTAATTTTAATCATATCTTATATAATTCCACGTGAACTATCTATAGGTCAACAATTTAAAAGAAAAGGTATTTTGAATATTTCACTTAAATCTTAATCTATTCAAATACTAATTATATCCTATATTAACTCCATATGAACAACCTATAACTCAAAAATATAGAAAAAATAAGATTAAGAAATTATACATAGATAACATATTATAATACATGAAGTATTATAAAACACCCAAAAGTTTCAAAATTTGTATATAATAGCCTTAAAAGTTTAAAATTACACAAAACACCTTGACTTTTTAAAACATAAAAACAAACATGATATCTAAAAATTTAAAACTTGTAATTAATACCCTCAATATTTTAAAAATTATAGAAACAACCTTAAAAGTTTAAAGGCTAAATTACATTTATATACCCTATGTGTTTCGCTCTTGAAGTAGTTATATACCCTAAGTTACAAAATATAGCAAAAATATACCTGGAGTTGGTAAAAATTTGCAAGTTGGTACCTTTTGTTAACCAGCTGTGAGAATATTCTCTGAAATATTTCCACGTACTCGACCTATGACTAACTTGAATACTTCTTACCATCATTTATTGTATTATCTACCCCCACCCCCCTCCCCACCCGCAAATTAGATTATTATTGTCTGTATTGGGAAATTTAAAGTGGCCAGGAAAGTGTTACGTGGATGTTTGCTATAGTTGTTTTATGAAAGAAAAATATATATCATATATTCCTTTAAAAGTACGAGTTCGAGAAAATCTTTCCATGGTCAATATCACCTTTGACTATTTGAATATTTTATTAAATTTTAATTTATTATAATCATAATTATATCATATCCTAATCCTATGTGAACTACTTATTGGTTAATAATTTAAAGATTAATAAGCTATAATGTATGAAGATTGCAAAAAAACCCAAAAAGTTTCAAAATTTGCACAAAACACCCTTAAAAGTATAAAATTACACAAAACATCCGGACGTTTCAAAACTTAAAACGACAAACATGAAACTCTCAATATTTTAAAAACTATAAAAACACTCTCAAAAGTTCAAATAATAAAAAAACTATGAAATTCTGAAATTTCAAAACTTGAGAACAACAAAGATGAATTCAAGGAATTACTATTAGGCACTAAAAAACTAAAATTTATAAAAAATAACCTCAAAGTTATGAAAATTTTGAAAAACTCCTTCGAAAATTAAAAAACACAGAAAAACCTAAAATTTAATAACTTATAACCAATACATATCAAATCTCAAAATTATCAGCAGATCGCTAAAAATTTAAATTTTGCAACAAACAATCTAAAGTTTTAATAATTACAAAAAATACCTTTAAAATTCAGAGTTGCAAGAAATATTCTGACATTAAAAAACTTACTACCAGCACATGAAACATGAAAATTACAAGCACCCAACTTAAATTTTAAAATTTTTAAAAAACACTCAAAGTTTTAAAATTTGCAAAACACGCCCTTAAAAATTCAAAATCACGAAAAACTGACTAAAATTTTAAAACATAGCAAAAAAAAAAAGAGTAGTTCTTTGATATTCTTTCATTAAAATAAGTAAATTTAACTTTTGTTTTAAGGTTCTACTAGTACTATCCTTTTTTGGCATCTAAAAGTTGTCTAATTTTATCGAAAAAGATAAAGGTGGAAAAGGATTGATAACGTCTCAATAAAAAATAAAACAGAAGGAATGAAAGACACTATTTTCTGAATATTTTATAGAATATGTTTTTTTGAGAAAATTAGGAATTTTTGGAAGGGATTTTCATAATTCTTTTTAGTACTTTTATATGCTTATGTGGTTGTTTTTATTATATAAAAGTGTATTAGATTTAGTAGTAATCTTTATTTTATAATTTTTTTTAAAGTCTATCAAGGATTAGGAACAAACTCCATATTATCTTTTGTGTCATTTTAGCCCACTTTTAACCAATTATCTTGTCTTATGAGCTTTAATTATCTATTTTCCTTTTAGAACGCTATTTTTTGAAGTGTTTTTTATTTTTACAATGCTATATTTTCTCAGGTCAAGCTTGGTTTCATGTCGGTCTCAATGATATGATAATTCAAATTGATTTCAGATTACGTTTATTTCCTGTCAATTCAATTATCAATATTAAAATTTAAATTAGGTGTAGTTCATTTAAACGAATATTAAAGAAAATAAATAATCACAATGCTAAAGTTTAGAGATATAAGTAAGAAAAAATCATCAAAGTGGAACCGAGGAACAAGTTTTAGTAAGGAAATAAACCAAATATACTTAATCATGATATTTGACCACGTGCATTGCACGTGCATAAAATCTAGTGTATGTAAATCGGTTATATCCTGTTTTATCAGCCCTTGCTTCTGCGAGTGTATTGGAGGCCTTTCTTTTCCCTACTTATTTGTTATTGTTTTGGTTATGGATCTTACAAAAAGCACCATATGAAATTATTCCAGGGTAGTGAAAAAGAAGCAAGGAGCTTGTTGGCTATTGCAGTTGGAATAAAGCAAAAGGAAGTAGTGGATCTAATTGTGCAAAAGGTTGGTTTATTTCTTTGTTCTTCTATCAAAATAAAATTTGAAAACGAGCTTTTTGTCAATAATTTACTGTCTAATTTTCTGGTTCGTCATTTTCCAGTTCCTTTTGAGTAATTTCACTGTAATGCTTTTCCACTATGATGGCGTTGTTGATGAATGGAGCGACTTGAAATGGAGTGGTAGTGCCTTACATGTCTCTGCAATCAATCAAACAAAATGGTATAGCTTGTGCATTCAGTAGTTTTTTCATGGTTAAAAATTTATTTTCAAGCACCTACAATTATTTTATTTTATTATTATTTTTTTATTATATTTTGGTTGGAAAAACACCTGCAGAAGTGCAGAGTATTTAATATTGTTCCATATGTAATAGGTGGTTCGCCAAACGTTTCTTACATCCAGATATAGTTGCTGAATATGACTATGTTTTCCTCTGGGATGAGGACCTTGGAGTGGAAAATTTTCATCCTCAACGGTAGGTAAAGTTATGTTATATGTGATAACTTAACAATCTTAAGTTATTTATATTTAAAAATAGTTATAAGTAGGAGTCTTGGATTCTAGTTGATAACCTATGAAAACTTCTATAAATTTCTGCTTCGTCTTGAATAAACATGACTTCTGGTCTGAATCTGTAAATCTTTTTATCTATTTTCTTGAATTTTGACCTTTAAATCTTTCTGCTTTGAGGAAATATTTATTGAGACTACAAGGCTTATTATGTTTTCTGGTCTATTCTTACTACTATAAGTGCAAGTATTAAAGCAGAAACATCCACTTACGTTTATAATCCATTTATTGGCTGCAACCAAGAGAGAACCATGATAAAAGAAAACTACCTTACATGATTATTGTTTCCTCGGAGCTTTACATTTTAAACCTTTACTTACCGCTGTAGTTTGAATGAAAATTTTAAAGATGCATGCTTAACTCCTACAGTTATATATCAATTATTAAAAGAGAAAAGTTGGAGATATCACAACCTGCATTAGATACTGCAAAGTCGCTGGTCCATCATCAGATCACTGCACGTGGGAGGAAAGGAGATGTGCACAGGTTTGGTGAACATACTTCTTTTTATAGCTTATCTTTTTTCTATTAATGATATTCATGTTTCTATAAGATCCATTCGAAGTTTAACTCATGTGGATCTCTAATAAATTGCATTTTTTCATTCAACAGAAGAATTTACAAGTATAGGGGCGGTGGAAGGTGTTATGAGAATAGTACTGCTCCTCCATGCACAGGGTGTGGTCCCTATTTCTTGTGTTCTTCTTAATTTTTCTGTGTGTGCAATTGTGCATAAATTTTATGTTGATCAGAACTGTTTTCCTTGTATAAAGGCATTGCCACCTATTTTTTCGATCCTTAAGTCGAAAAATAAAAAAAGTACAGCCTAGCCAAAATTGTTCTTGAAAAGAAAAATCAGCGGCAACCTTAGCTGTCAAATGCTCCGGTATTGTGATGGAACAGATTTTAAACCTAACTTCCTCCATGAGCAATAGATAAATCACTTTCCCCTTCTCCTCTTTTTCCTGCCAAATTTCTCTGCCACTATGTAAGGAAATTCAAAATAATAAAATGAGTACAAACATTTGCAACCCTCTTCGTTTAATTCTCTTATGCTATAATTTTCTAAGTGAGGATGGATCCTGATGCCACGGAATCTTATTTCAAGTTATCTTCTCCTTTCATGTTTTCTTCCCATTAACGCTAAACTTTTTAGTAACCCATGAACTGCAATTAGGAAGTTTCTGGAGATAATAGCATGCAAGACGAAAATGAAAGATTAAAATAGCAATTAAAATGGAAGATAAATAGTTCTATGCTCTGAGTAGGATCTACCTCATGTGCTGTTGGTCTACAGAGTTCTGTTAGGCACAAGTGCTTTTGCTAATATGTTCTCTAGGTTCCCTACTTCTCTTTTTAGTGTTTGAAAGATGGGACACACAATTTTTGATTCAAGGGCCACATGGTTAAAAAGAGAAGGCTCCCTCTCCTTTTAAGAAGAACATAGTCCTTTTACTATCACTTTTCTTTTATTTATTTATTTTATTTTTGTGAAAAAAGGTTTATAGCAGAAACTTTTATCTTAGGGTCTAATGTTTATTGATGTTGGTTGTATGAACCTATACTTAGAACTGCATATTCTTGTCATGGACAATCTTTTCATTGTTGTTTACTATGTCCGCAAATTTACATCTTCCCATCTACTTATTTACTCGTTTAGGTGTGTAAAAACCCTGAGTTGGAACTGGATAATTCTTATGATGGATGTGGAGTGATTAACACTTTTGCAGGTGGGTTGAAATGATGGCTCCTGTGTTCTCCAGAGCAGCTTGGCGTTGTGTATGGTATATGATTCAGGTTGGTTTTGATATGCTAAATAGCAAATACTATCATACATCATTTCTAGACATATTTTTACCTTTATGAACCATTGTGCAGAATGATCTAATTCACGCGTGGGGCCTAGACAAGAAGCTTGGTTATTGTGTTCAGGTAACATTCATTTGTTAAAGCACCATTTGTCTATTAATGGTAGTCGAAAATAATATCCTTTGTTATAGGGTGATCGGACTCAACATGTGGGGGTGGTGGACGGGGAATACATAGTTCACTTGGGTATTCCTACTCTTGGTAGTGTTATAGACCATAAGGTACGATGTTTCTCTTCTTCCATGCAAATGTGAATAAAGGAGAGTTTTTTCCACCTTTCCTTCCCATTATGTTTACCTTGCTAGTAATCAGTCTTTATCATATTGATTTGAGTGTCCTCCCATGGATGCTTGAGTCTTAAGTCTTTCTCCCATTTTCCTAATGCTTTACTCTGTGTTAAGCATGATTGGGGCATATCCTAATGTTGAACTTGGTCATACACAGTTTGCTGTTTGCTTCCGCTAAAATTAGGCCAAATAGTTGCAGAACTTTCAACATGGTTACTTTTATACATCCAACTTTAGAATTTTTTTTTTCTTTGAAAACCTCATTTTTCCTTTGCAGAAAGAATACCTGTATCCTTAAAGTTTTAGGATACAAGTTTGTTTAAGGACTCAACACAGTAGAATCAGTATTTAAGCTAATATTTTATCTGACATGAATTTGTGAGTCTATACGGTTAAAGATACTTAATAACTCAGACTAATATTTTTTTAAAGTTAATTATGTCACCTGAACAATTATAATTTTACATTAAGAAAGTGGAACAATAACGTAAATGCATTTACAGATCAAATGAATTGTGATACTACCATTCATGCATTAGAATATTTTACATTCTACTAATGGGTGCATCTCCATTATGTCTGTGATGGGTTACAAATTCTGGGAAACGTCAAGAGGAGTATTCATGGAATATCTTACATATCCAATATTGATATAACTTCTTAGTTTTTCTTTTATGCCACTTATTATAACCAAGGTTTTAAATATCGGATGTTGGGGAAATATCGGATGGCCAAAATTCATATCGGATTACGGATATCGGGGAAATATCAGGGATGTGGTAAATATCGGAATGTCATAATGAATGTTTGCATACATAGTATAATGCATTAAAATGTAATCTCAACATATGTAATGAAATTTAAGCATACAAAATATGAATAATATATGTTTAGGATCACTAATCAACCTTCTAAAACAAACAAAAGTGCAAAGCAACGTTGCAACATTCGATCTGTTTTTTTAGGGCAAAATGTCATTTGATATAATGGGGAAATCTTAATATCTCGCCCAAAAATTCCAAACACGGTATATTATTTTGCAACAAGCTATATAAAAAGATATATTGGTCTACATATCAGCTAATATATCGGCCATATCGGGGATTTATCACTCAAAATAGCTAAAAAGCGGTAAAAGATATTTAAAGACCATATCGGTTGCGGCAAGACCTGTAAAAGGATATATCGGGGGATATATCGGGCCATGTTGGGGATATTTAAAACAATGATTATAACTGCCTTGCATGAGTTCCAAGTAAGTGATGTATTAGATATATGATATGGAAGTTGTATTCATCATATTTCAAATTGACTGCTTAATCAGTATGTTCTATTTACTTCAGGTAAGTCTGGAAACATCCAGCAATGACTCCCAATTACAAACACCAAATTCAGGGAAGGCGGTAGGTTTTCAGTGCCTTTTTACCTTCTCTCTACAGTGATCAAAGGTTTATTTATGTGATAGCTGACATATATATTTAAAGTTGCAGATGCCTCCAGTGTCATCTATCTTCAGTGGTAGATCTGCTGTAAGTTAAAATATATGATATTTATGTTATTCATTGAATCAGTAGTCTTATCAAGAATTTGCTTGTTCCCGTACACTGAAAAAAAATCAGTTAGCTATCATCAATAGTTATCATCTCTAAGGCCTCTTCCGTCTTTGTACATGAATCTCTGAGTAGATGAAAATTTCTACCAACCTCACCCCTTGGAGTTGAACGTTCCTATAGAATTTTTCATTGAATCAGTAGTCTTATCAAGAATTTATCAAGAATTTGCTTGTTCCCGTACACTGAAAAAAATCAGTTAGCTATCATCAATAGTTATCTCTAAGGCCTCTTCCGTCTTTGTACATGAATCTCTGAGTAGATGAAAATTTCTACCAACCTCACCCTTTGGAGTTGAACGTTCCTATAGAATTTTTCATGAATCACTCTGATTTTGTACAAACTCCTAAGATATACCATACTATATGACTGAAACCTAAAGACTGTTGGCTGATAGGGAACCCTACCAATCTGTTAATGTTATTTAAGCTCATAGAAACTGATGGATCCTTCCTTATTTGAGGTAGGATATTGCTGATAATCATTGTTTTTTTTCTTCATTAGCATCTAGTGTAACTTTGATTGATCAAATCAAGCAGAATTTCAGAATATATCTATTTGGTAGGATACTGCTGATGATAATGTGTAGATTAATTTCACTTTGAGTAATCAAATCATCCAGAATTTCAGAATCTTTGCTGCTGTTAATAATTGACAAACTTTCCTTACAGTATCTGCCGAGTGTAGGAGGTAGATAAACACAAAGTTCATCGAGTGTAGTAAGTATAGATAAACACAACGTTCATATGCTAATAGCCGATGATAATCCCTTAAGCTCAGATTGCTCTCTATACCTATAGTTTTAATGTTTCTAGTTCTAGTTTTATGTATTTTATGAAAATGATCTGTGTTCAATTATTGGCAGGTAAGAATGAGATCTTTCACCGAGTCAGAAATTTTCAAAAGGAGATGGAAAAGAGCAGTGGCAGAAGATAAATGCTGGAGAGATCCATACCCAGAACCCAAAAACAAAACTGGCACTTAATAGCACTGTTTCTTTCAAGTTCTTTTTTTGCTTTAAAAGCTCCTGGATTGCTTCAGACCAGCTCAAGCTCATACAGAAAAGAGTGAATTATTCAAGAGATTACCATCAAGTACAGGAAATGACAATAACATTTTGGAGTAAACGGATCAATATCAAGTGAGACAACCAAGCCAGGCTTAAATGTATAAGTTGGTGTTTTTGGGATGTGTACAGAATATGTAAATGATAAGAATTTGTGAAAAGCATCTATTATTTCTCAATAATAGTACTCAATTTTCATTGGATAGTTCTTCAGTATAATGGGGCTATTGAAGATCCAAAACTGCACATTTTCTATGAATCTTCACAGCTTCTCTCAATTAACTGCAATATTCATCTTATCGTATCCAATATCGTACTTTAAAACATAGGGTAAATTGCAGATAGAACCCCTGTACTATCGCCTAATTGCAGATAGGACTACTGCACTCTTGTACCCTCAGGAGGTCTATTTGCTAAAAGAAATTTTCTTCTCTAAGGGGTTAAAAAAAAAACTCAGGAGATCTATCTGCAACCATCGAACTACATGAGACCTAGCTGCTATTGGGCAATAGTAAGGGAGTCTATCCACAATTAACATGACTTTTATGACATACAAGTTTCTCCTAGACATCAGGACAAGTTGCACACAGAATATCAGAGACTATTTTTGTTGTAGAAGATAACAGGAAGCTAACCTCCTCATAGATGCAAGTATGGAACATCAGGATGCATGAATTTATAACAGAAACACCCTAACAAACCTACATACACCAAGACAAGCACGAGGAAAAATCATCGAGACTTCGCTCATTCAGATATACACTTCCCTGTCAGAAAATGCAACACTTGATGAATATTGATAACTTAACTTATCCAATTTCAATATTTAACTTATCTAACATCACGCTTAAAAAATACATGATATACAAGTTTTCCCATAGACATTCAGAGAAGTTACACCCAAAAACATAATAGACCATTCTCATCACAAATTGTAACGTAAAGATAGCATCTGAAGGCTCTAGCAAACCAACTCTCCGACATGCAACACAAAAAAAATGCATGCATTTATAACAAACACCCTCACAGACCTACATATAAAATCAAACAAATATTGTTCTCATCCTCAAAGTTGCACTTTCCTGTCAAAAATCCAACTAAAGGGCATCATCTCCGCTCGCTTTGTCTTCCTCGACTCAGCCCTCTCCTCAAGCCTCCTAATCCTTGGAGCAAGCGTGCACACAAAATCTTGAGCTCTTTTCCCTTCACCTGAAAGCCCCAAAATACCCTCCAACTTCCATCTTCCAACAAGATGCTCAAGAATATCCGCATAATCCTTCGCAGTATAAACACCAAGCCTTTGTGCAACAGCTGAGAAATTCCCAAATAAATTATCATCACGACCATCATACATCAAATGAGCAGGCATCGAGATTTTTTTCCTCATCATGTCGGCGAAAGCAAGCATTGTGTCATCAGGGTCCACCTCGAAGAGTTTCTCTACAATTTTTGTGTATGCGGCCTCATGGCGTTTCTCGTCGGCAGCGATTGTGCCACAAATTTGAGCAAGCCTTAGATCACCATATTGTCGGGCGTGGTTGGCTGTGTTTCCGTGGGATATGAAGGTTGCTCGCTCTTGGAATGATGTATAGATGAATCCAAGGTATGGGTTGTTTTCTGTCCTCGGATCCTGAAGCACACACAAGGAGAGAGATATAAGCATATTCATAAACTGAATGTAGGGTAAATTTTACAAAACTACCATGAACTTTAGGAGGTTTTGCACAAAACTTAAAAACTTTTTCCACTTAAATACCCCAAACTTTACATGATTTTTAACTTTGATGCCCCAAAGTTTTTTTGCCCAAATAATACCCCAAAGTTCAACAAAATTTAACTCTCCCAAAAGTTTTATTTTGCCCAAAAATCCCCTAAAGTTTAATAAATTTAAAATCTGACACCCAATTCTACAAAATTTAACTTTCATAGCCAAACTTAATTTTTTTTTTTTTGAATTTTTGTTTAAGTTTGGGGTATCAAAGGTAAACTTTGCTTAACTTGGGGGTATTTTTTGGGCCAAAGAAATTGTCAAAGTTAAAAATAGAGTAAATTTTGGGGTATCTTTTATGGCAAGAAGAAACTGTGGGGTACCAATGTTAAAAATAGAGTGAACTTTGGGGGTATTTAAGTGCAAATTACCCTTTTTTATAAGAGAAAACTACCATGAATTTTTTCACTAAACTACCATGAAATGTTTTGGACAATTTCATGTGCTTCTTACATGAAATGTTTTGGACAATTTTTTCCTTTATGTATTGTGATGAAAAATCAATTATTGACAATGCAGACAATGTGTGTGATGATAAGCAAATATTGATAATGGATAATCAAAGAAAAGTTCTAATCTCCTTTATCTAAACAGGTGCTTATTAGTTCTACATATATACAAAACCTTAGAATGTCTGATTCTGTCTGCTGTAGCTAACTCTAAAAGTACTTATGGACCCTTCAAGTCATGCTACCGGATAACTTTAAAACTACAATTACATCAGGAACAAACACCTAAACTACGACTATATGCAAGTTCATAAATTGTGTTTTTTTTCCATTTTAATCGGTGTTATTAGTAAACTTGATCTCTGAGAGCAATAATTTAACAAAGTAGAGCATGAATTATAAAAATCCATAAAAAATCAGAATGAATAGAAAATTACCATTCCTGAACCTATCAGATACTGGATAGTTTTCTCAATTTGTCTCATGTCAACTCTTCCAGTAAGGTACAGATACTTATTGAGAAGATCTCCGTGCCTATTCTCTTCGGCAGTCCAAGCCCGAGTCCAAACAGCCCAAGAAGTAAGGCTTGCACCAGTTTCATCTCTGACTCCATCGAGAGTATTCAACATTGTTTGGTATGTAGGGAGAGCCTCTTCAGTAATCATATCTCCAACCAAGCAAACAAAGTAGTCATCAGGTATCTCCTTGGTCCTCTCTCTGAGATCCTTTACTTCATCGTAGAATCCCTCTGAAGAAGGCTCTGGAAGAAAATCTTGCGGCTGCCAATTAGTATGGACAGGCTTAAGAAGTGCCAAGAGATTGTTTTCTGCCCAGTCTTCTAAGGATTTGAAAATCTCAATCTTTTGAGGGGGGAGGGAGTGGGTGACTTGAACATGGACCTCACGGGGAGGAGTGAAGAGCTTCTTTGAAGAATCTACCCTGATTCCATTAAAAAAAGTATGTCAGAAATAAATTTTCAATAACTACCATTAAAGACTTGTAATTTCATGTTAGTTGACCATCAAAATTGAAGGAGAGCTATCTACACAATAATTATTGTTGAAGTGATAATTGAAACTAAAGCCACATTGACCACCACTATAAGGTATTAATAAAGAGGATCAAAGCGATGGTATGGCGCTGATATTTGCACTCAGAAGAATGAGCGAAGGAAATAGCAAAGGCAAGAAAAGTAATCCACTTGTTAAAAACGATTCTAGAGAAAGATATCATGAAGAAGACTTAGCAATCTTCATATAAGAACATTTGATAGAAAATATAATCGTAATAGAAACAGGATAGGTAAAGAAGTTTTCATACAGGATCTCCTGAAAGATATCCCAGCTTGTCTGCTGTAGATCCCAAGGCACCAAAAAGATCAGGAGGAAAAAAAATTAGGACAAGCAGTCAAACTTATGTCAAGCAAGATTTGTTCTAATTAGAAAATGACCAAGAGACTAAAGTCACTAAACGGAGAGTTGCTTCTGACGGAAATAACTTAAAATGCTCATTAAAAAATATCACAGCTTCTAACTAATTCGTGTCTCAACAACAAAATTAGGCTTTATGAAGATGACTTGGTGCTGTCTAAATATTAATATTAGTTCTCCAAGTTCAAGGAAAACTACCTAAGAGTTTAGCAATTAATTTTTGCGCGCGCGCACACACACACAAATGCACTGAAAGATGGATGCAAGTGAATGTTTATAGAATGAACTTAGGCCTGCAATAAGTAAACTGGCAATGTGAAACTGTGCTTGTGGGGAGAGGAGATTGACTTTCAGTGATAATACACAATCCTCATTCTAAGCTAGTGACTTATGTTCTACAATAAGTAAACTGGACAAGAAATATCTTTCGCTTGGATGTATCCTGCTTTATAGAGCACCGGTGATCATCATTTAGACCATTGGAAGGGACCATCAACTGCACAGGCTCCATGAAAAATTACTTCGATTAGAAAACAAGATTTAACAATTTTTGTCAACCTGACATCAACCCTAAAATTGGTGCTTGATTCCTAGCCAAGTAAGCTATATACAAGCGGCTAATAATATTACTAGGACAGTGTTGCATCATAAGCTCTTGCACCCTAGCAACATCCAAAATTCCCCCAGATTTGAAAAATGTGTACCAAGGAAAGATGGTGGTTTGCCTATAAGGAGTTAAAGCCTGAGAGGAAAACTGAATGATTTTCGTGCCCCCTTCAGTGGGTGACAATTTCATCCATGTCTGATAGGCACTAATTTGCTAATTTCTGGCAGGAGATGCTGATATCATTGAAATGGTTAAACCAAAATATGAAATCTTTTTGTAACTTCCTACCTCAAGCAACAATTTCTTTAATACTCAGAAGATTAGGACCATCAGGCTTCCTGTTTCTTAATCTTTCAATGCATCACAGTCGTTCACCATTCAAAGCAACTACAATTAATTTATCCATTCTTGTAATGCTAAGGAGGATGTAAATAGAACAAGTACTAATAACAAAATGTGAACCAGTAAAGTAAAAAGAACAAGTACTAACAAATAAAATGTGAACATGATTATAATTTGACCTCTACAATTTAACCATACCCACTACCAATACTCAAATTATCAAATGCATGGAAAAACTAAGCATCATCTAAAAAAATAATGGTTCATCGGGAAGAGAAAACGACAAAGGGAATATAGTGGTATATAAGAAGAATGGATAATTAGGCTTTAAGTTAAATGGATTGCTCTGGGTCTAAAAAATATCTCAATCTGACATAATACACATACCTGCATACGTAGTTTCAACAAAATGTGTGCCTGAATAAATGGTATATACAGCAACATAGCCCCATGATCGTGTGTTTTGTGCAGCCAAAGGTGGCATGTATGGCCACATATTCAAACATTTATGATAATGTATTTAATCATCCACATAAAGATTCAAGTGAAGAGTACTATAAATTTAATCCTGTAGGATAACTTTTCCTGCTAAACAATATTAAAATTTTCTTTAGTTGATTCTACTCTAACCATAACAGCATACGCATTGTGCACTTCACGGACTCAATTCCTGAGGCCCCTTTCCGGATTTACCATCAGGCAGAAAAACTCCAGTCCATTTCATATCCAGCCTCAAATCTACATGGCTCATGTTTGTACATCATGGCAGTTTGCTTCTCCCCTTCATTCTTGAGGTACTCATTCTTGAATCTCAATTTCCTACTTGATACATATTAAACCCCACAATTCTTTTTCTATGATGCTGATTTTACAGGCCAAGGCACTCAATAAAGAATTGTGCTCTTACAGTCTGTCACGAGACTTCCAATCTTGTTATACACAGTGAATTATTTCAACCTAACTACCCTTTTATAACTGTTACAATATAATACTATATCCCTCAACACACAATGACCTATACATATGAATACAATGTTCACTCCAAAATGAATACTCGATGTAGACAACTAAGAACACATGGAACTCACTCCGTCCTCTACCTATCCTTCCCATCACTAGTCCCCAGAACTGTGATTGTGTGCAACCTCGGTCTCAATAGTCGCCAATTCTGGATCCAAAGTGGGATTCGCCAAAAGCCAAGAGTTCTTGGGTTTTGAGGAACTATACTTGCTTTGGACCTAGCATTTTAATTATATTAATACAATGGGTATCTTTTTAAGAAGAAGAAAATACAACCACCGTGTTTTGTCCCGCATCGCTAATATGATGAAAACTTGGTTGGTTTTAATAAATAAAATACAAACTCGGCCCTTTTCTAATTAAATGCCTTCTGTTTAAAATATTTGTCCATTTTGATTCAACAAGACACTTAATAAAGATGTATTTAAATTTTCTATTTAATGAAATCAACAACAAAAATTGATAGTGCAACCATGTTAATATTGTTACTAAGACAAAAAGATAGTGATCTCTAGTAGTATTATAACTTATCTCGCAAATGATTATCCTTCTTCCTAGAAAGTAATCAACATATTTCATTGTGTTCTCAAATCTTAGGAACAATCAAATTGAACTTTGATTAGTAATTTTGTTTGAATCTTGTGAATCCCCAAATCAACCATGAGATATCACTCTCGTTGTGAATCTTGGGCAGCTCAAGATCATATAAAAGGTTAAATGCTCCAACACTAAGAACATAGCTTTTATCCCAAGCTTATGCGGTCAGCTAAAAGGTTGCATACTACATGCTACAATTGAAATGTATGGTTAATCAATGTATTTTTATAGTCTGCTATCCTAATAAGCAGATCTACGACATTAATTTTTGCCCTTTAGGACAAAACGAGCAAATTGACCAGTGCGATGCTGCAGATATTAGTGTGAAGAAGCCAAGAAATACTTAACGACTAAATGAGTGGATTTAGAAATATGAAGGTAAAACTTTGGGTTATACCGTTCATGAAGTTGGAGCATTAGTATGAGAAAAGCAAAAAAAAAAAAAAACAATTTGAGCATTTGGTTTACATATACACAAAAATACCTTACCCCTTGTAACAAAAACATAGCAAGTTATAACAAAAAAGAGTTGCACTGTTATACCCAAAAACATAAAGCGGATTCGAAATTAATTCAGTAAAAAATTTTGTGTTTTAGAGTGATTATGGAAGTGGGTGGGTTAAAAATAAATAAGGATTAACTTTAGATTTATATACACAAAATCACATTTTGAAAGTGGGAGTGATTATAATAAATGAGGGTATGATTATGGGTTTATAGAAAAAAACCCAAATACAACTCTCAATGTCACGACATTAGTGGGGAAAAGCCAATAATAATAATAATAATGGTTTAATCATTTAGCTTAAAAATACACCATGCGCGTAACCATTTCAAACAAAAATATAGCTGGTTACTATAAAATAATGTAAATTTTCGTATACTTAAACTACTGAAAATACAATGTGGATTTAAAAATAATCCGGTGAACTACGTTTGGTCAAAGAGTTATTTAGAAGTGGGTGGTTTAAATAGAGGCAAAACTTTGGGTTTAGAGATAAAGATACCCTTATACATTTTTGTATATAACAATGTACTAAAATTAATGAAAGGTACTATTCAAAAGCACTATTCATCTTCCATTAACTTTAGCATATATAGAAATAGAATTGGTTTTCAAGATAATGGTGAAAAATCTAATGTGGTTACAAATTGAAGCGATAATAAGGACTGGAATAACTGAAAGCTCTCCAATTACCATAAAATCCGAGTGGAGCCATTTAATTTTCAAGAAGCTAATATGATGACAATTCTGTATTTAGAGGCGCATAAAAACAAGCTATGGAAAATTCTTTTCCATTTTTCACTGTTAAGAAAATTGTAGGTAATGAAAAAAATTGAGGGGATGTCTTTTTACCCCATTAATAAAGTTGTTCTGGGTTCTACGATGTATAGACTATAACACAACAGAACTTTAGGTTTGAGACTCACATGTTGGAGTACTCTCTCTCTCTCTCACTTAGAATCACCGTCTTTACTTCTCTCTCTCTTCTTTCCTCGATGTTATGCATATAACCAAAATTTACAATTAAGCCAGCTGGACCATGCCACGTCAGCAGACAACTCGGTTAAAAGCTAATCAATTTAACCCAGTAAAGTTTGAGACATCCGCACTTAGCTTATACCCCGATTGCAACCTATGGACTTGACTTGAAAGTCTGAATAGAACGGTGATGGCCCATTACAACTGAACTTACTTTAATTCGATTATCCATGCATCATGCTCACTTGGCCTAGTTTTATGGTGGTTTGCCTAATTAAAAATGATTGATTCGAATCATATTACTCCTCAACATACCATATTAGAAGATATCAATCGGTAACCAATCTCTTTGATTGCCAGCTTTCATAACTTACATGATCTACACATGTCGATTATACCTTCCTACACTAATGGAACCATGACAAGTGGTCTCACTTGCTTGCTAAGTAACTACCATACC